TTTTCATTCTTCATGCTGTCGAGGGGAGACAGGAAAAGCCATCGTGACGGTACCGGCCATTTCTCTCTGCACTGTGAGTAACTGCCCGTGATAGAAGGATTAGAAAGAAATGGAAGACAGGATGAATGATATTGCTAAATTTTTCATGACACAACTGTGACAAAATTGCTCTGCATCTTTTTTCCACGTTTTCTGAGGGAGTTTTTCAGACTAGACATCTTTGTCACTGCCAAGTCAATGGGAGACAGAAGGCCACTGCTTTTAATACCTAGTGATGATGGAAGTACTGATGCTTATTAAGAAAAACAAACACCTCTGGCTGAGTCAACACTAGCCTTTGGACTGAAGTAGTGTTGCTGCTCAGGAGTAAATCCCCGATTCTCCGTAGGTGCCACATGTTGGCTGTGCTGCCAGAGCAGCTGTGGCATACAGACTCGATTCCTCTCGGAAGAAAACTCAGCTGGAAGTTTTGCTCCAGCCGAGCATGAAATGGGCACCAATTCCTAGCACAGACACAGCCGAAGAGTCACAGTTTTTCAATTTTTTCTCTGCCAAAAAGAGCATGTTCCTGTTTTAGGCACCATGTCGTGGACAGAAGGGAGGCCAAATGATGTTACAGTCAAGGGACATGCAGTTCAGTCAAGAAAATACTGATAATTCTTAAACTCTGCAGAATTCACCTAGAGAATGCGCTCTCTGATACGCGGCTGAGCTGAACAAACAGTTGACACTGAGGGCTTTATCAGACAAATACACACAAATGCATACAGAAACACATTTATTGCTGTGTATCTTCATTTGTGCTGGAGCAGAACTGGGAGTGTGGGTGAGGTGAAGGGACTAATTGAACAATATTGTGCAAACACACAGAAAGGCATGATTCACACCGCACATCTCGCGTTCCTATTAATTTCTTGGGCACCACAAACAACCTGCGTGAGTAATATGATCAAAAATTCCATCAAAGAATTGCTGCTCACATTGACAAGTTGAAAAAAAAACCTTTTCCTTCCAAAAATATGTATGTGTCATTATAGGGACGGCGCATGCTCACGAGCTGAATTAGTGCTTTTATTAGCAGCAGCATTACCACTATCAGTCATAATTGGAATGACCTCTGTAACTCATGCAAATATTTTACCCTGATCCTGTGAGACCCCACCTGGAGTACTGCATCCAGCTCTGGAGCCCCCAACATAAGAAGGACATGGATGTGTTGGAGCGGGTCCAGAGGAGGGCCACGAAGATGATAAGAGAGCTGGAGTACCTCTCCTACGAGGACAGGCTGAGGGAGCTGGGGCTGTTCAGCCTGGAGAAGAGAAGGCTCCGGGGGGACCTTATAGCTGCCTTCCAGTATCTGAAGGGGCCTACAGGAAGGATGGAGAGGGACTTTTCACAACAGTGTGTAGTGACAGGACAAGGGGGAATGGCTTTAAACTAAAAGAAGGCAGATTTAGGTTAGATATGAGGAAGAAATTCTTCACCAGGAGGGTGGTGAAGCACTGGCACAGGTTGCCCAGAGAAGCTGTGGCTGCCCCCTCGCTGGAAGTGTTCAAGGCCAGGTTGGATGGAGCTCTGAGCAACCTGGTCTGGTGGAAGATGTCCCTGCTTATGGCAGGGGGGTTGGAACCAGATGATCTTTAAGCTCCCTTCCAACTGTTACCCATTCTATGATTCTATGATTCTATATTCCTAAATTTCTTGCAGAGTAATTCACCATAATCCAATTTCTGGCTACAGTTCTTAATGATTTCTACTTACTTAAAGCAACATGGGCTTTCATGTTCAAGTAGGGCAGAAGAGCAAAAAAAAATAGAGTATATGTGTGCTCTACATAAAGGGCGGTGCTGACAAAGTTCTATTTCCCCCTATACACAGACAGTGTATAAAGCAAAAAAGTGCACTCTCTGTCTAGCGTCCATTAATTAGGGAAGTGAGAAGAATTGCACATCAACGCAAGTAATTTTTAATTTGTACAAACAGTGTGACAATTAACACCCTGCGCACCTTTCCGAGCTCAGAAAGTGTAAACGCACCGGTTCTGATCGGGGACGCTCT